TTTCTTTCTTTCTTTCTTTCTTTCTTTCTTTCTTTCTTTCTTTCTTAAGACAAGTTCTCAATAACAGGACCAGTCCAGGCTGCCTTCAAACCCATAGCAATCCTATTGCCTTAGCCTTAAAAGTGCTGAGATTGCAGGCATAAATCACCAAGCCCAGCTTCTTTTTAGTTTTTATCTTGAGATAACGGCTCACTAAGTACCTCAGGCTGGCCTTGAACTCCTTATGTAGCCCAGACAGCTCTTAAACTTTGATGGCAAAGTCTTAAACCTTATGCTTTGCTGTATACGCAGACGAGGCTATGGGGAATCCGTGTGTAAACCAGTCTGATTTTATTTTATTTATTTAGTTTTGAGACAGGCTCTAGCCCAGGCTAACCTCAGACTTTCGAATCTCCTGCCTCAGCTTTGTGAGTGCCAGAGTTACAGGTGTGCACCACTCTGCCCACTGTTAGTGTTTTATCAGCCTATTTCAAATGTTCCATCCCTGGCCAGTGACCAGAACCCACTGAACTCTAAGAGCCCACGCACAGCACACACACACCTTCCCAGTTATTCTGGAAATCTGGGCACTAGGGTCAGGACCCGCAGTGACGCTGGTTGAGTAAGTGTGACACCCGGGTCCACACCTAGAGGTCTTGTGCAAAATGCAGGTTGAGCCAGCAGATCTGGGGTGGGGCTGGAATTGTGAGTTTCCCATCCCTTCTCTGGAGATGCTGAGGCTGCGGGACTGGGTCCTGGTGGCAGCAGGGATCACTGGGCAGGGAGCAAGATAAGACGGGGAGAAAATAGGATGTAATGGGGGGGAGGGTGAAGAACTTGTGTATTAGGGTACTAAGTTTTATGGGTCAGCATGTTTTAGGAGCTACTCTTTTACCTTGTTAACTCTTGTTCTCTTTCTTTTCTTTTCCTTTCTTTCTTTCTTTCTTTCTCTCTCTCTCTCTTTCTTCCTTTCTTTCTTTCTCTCTCTCTCTCTCTCTCTCTCTCTCTCTCTCTCTCTCTTTCTCTCTCTCTCTTTCTTTCTTTCTTTTTAAATCAGCTTTAAGAACACAGAGAGCCTGTTACACTTTGTGGCGCACGCCTTTAGTCCCAGCACCTGTGAGGCAGAAGCAAGTGAATCTCAATGAGTTTGAGGCCAGCCTGGTCTACAAAGTGTTTTACGGGACAGCCAGGGCTACACAGAGAAACCTTGTTTCAAAAAACAAACAAAACATAAGTAGACTGTCAACAACAGCACCAGTTTTCTTCTATGGTCCCTGTCATTTTTCTTTTTTTCCCACCTTTTCTTTCTTTGGGGGACTTCAGCAGAGAACAGGGAAGTTCTAGAGGTTCCAGGGAGGAGCTATACAGCCTTCACTAATCTTCAGTAGCAGGACTAACAGGGCAGGTATCCCCACATCCTGGCCGGGTCTACAGCTAGCTCTGGGAATGAGAAAAGACAATGGAGCTGGTGATCTCTAACCCAGGAGGTGCTTAAGCAACATACAGCCTGTCCCTTTTCACCAGCCGCCACTCCCTCTCTGCCCAGTGCAGAGACCAGCCCAGCTGGAGTTTCTAGTCTGTGTCAGTTGAGCCCAGCAGCCTGGTCAGGGCACGACTTGGACGACTTAGTGGCAATGGCGCTTCTTGCTGTGCTCTGGAGGAGAGAATATTATCAGGTGGTGATAGATTCGTAAGCGTAAAGTTAGCAGCCCACATGTGACAGGATGAAAGAAGAGTTGGCGGAGAGAAGGCACTGCCCACAGTCCCTTCTACATCCACGCGCCCCTCTGTCCTGCCCTCTCTGCCCCCGTTGACTTGTGCACATTATGTTTCCCTAGGAAAGTAAAGAAAGCAGCCGTCTCCTTGGGGGCTCCCATGACTACCAGGTAAGCAAGGGATAGCTAGGGCAGCTTAGCAGAAGGGATCGTGGAGAGTGGGGGAGGATGCCAGGAGACAAACGTACTTATCTCTTCTTATAAACTGCTCTTAAACTGCCGGGTGACTACCAGGAAACCAAAATGGTGGCTGGGATCTACCTCCCCTCCTCGGCCACTGTTTCCCTTCCTGCCTCCATTTGGGATCAGAGCCATACTGACGGCAAGTGAGGAATGAGGCAGAAGTAACAGAAGGACAGAGATCCAGGCCTGGAAGTGACACCTGGAGTGGCAGTTACTGGGGAGGAAGAGGCAGGAGGATCGCAAGTTCAAGGGCAGCCTGGTCTATAGTGTGTGTTCACGGCCAGTCTGGGCAACTCAGAGAAATCTTACCCTAAAAAGTAAAGAAGAACTGGAACATGGCTTAGAATAGAGCCCCTGCCTAGAATCCCCCAGTGAGGAGCTGGGGGCGTTGCTCAGTGGTAGAGCCCCTGCCCAGAATCCCCCAGTGAGGGGCTGGG